CTTGCTGCAGCCTGCACCGTGATCTCATTTAGAGACCAGCATTCAGGATATGCGTGCTCTGAGACCATAGGCTGTAAGTGGGTCAAGAGCATTGCTTTTCTATCTTGGTTGGTTGGCACTAAGTGCATTTTAAGCAGCAAAGTTTCCTCGTGTATAAGTTAACATTCTTTTCTGCCTGTAGCCTTTTCTTTACATCTAAGAATATTGTTTTCTTTGTTCCTCCCACTACAGATTATAAGCACACCACAGAGGTTAACCAGTTCAGGAAGTGTTCTGATCGGGAGTCCATATACCCCTGCGCCAGCCATGGTCACTCAGACGCACATAGCAGAGGCTACTGGCTGGGTCCCAGGGTAAGAATGTCATGATTTTCTATTAAAAAAACCTTTGTTCCTCACCATCTTGTCTTCCTTTTGTTGCATATTCATCTTAAAAACAAATGAAAAATCAAGTCAGCTAGGTGCCATCAAGTCCCCGCTGACTCACGCCGCCGCTGTGTGGATCAATAGAACGGTGCTCTGGAGGGTTTTCAGTGTCCGGTTCTTTTAAGAAGGCTTTTCTTTCGAGGTGCCTTGGAATGGGTTTGAACCTCCAAGCCTTTAGTTAGCAGCTCAGTCAGTATATGAGCTGTTTGTACCACCTGGGCGCCTGTGTTGGTTTAGTTCTTAAAAACTAATGTTTGATTCTGCTGCACGAATTCTGTCAGTGTTGAGAAGAAGGAACTGAGGAAAACCATCTCAGAACCCTAACAAACCTATCCTTCATTATTCAAGTCCAGGATTTGTATAAACATGAATATGTCTTCTTTAAAATCACCCCTTTTCGTTTACTTTACACTGTGTGAATCAAGTCTGGAACACCCCTTTTAAATGAGTAACAGAACAATAGCTTGTAAGTGACTCTCCTGAGTTCTTTAATACTGTTAATTATTAATGCTGTTAATTATCCCAGCATTTTCCTTATGAATTCTTAATTCCTTAAGAAAGAACGAGTTGAAAAAAAGACTGGCTATATTAAAAATCCTGTTTTCCCTTGATTCTTTGAAGCACCAGACAGTTAAGTCAATTCTTTCTGTATAACTTGTTTTTAAATTTAGTACAATTTTACACATTTCCTCTTTGTCTTATAATTTTAGTGCTTTATCAGTCCATAAACGAAAATTGTAAAGTAGGATAAATGTCTCAGAACCTCATGTTGTCTGCAACTCGAAATGACTTCCTTGGCGGCGTGTGGCACTGGCTTCTGCCTGTGACTTTTAGCAAGTAAACCACCCATACTCGTCCTAAGACTCTCCTTGCTTAAAGTATAGGAAGTGGATTAAGGAAATAACAAACTAAGTAATCCTGGCAAAGTGCTTTAGACTGTATACGCACACACACACACACACACAAGAAACAGAAGCGTTTAGAATGCATATATCTTCATTACCAAATGTGATACAGTGATGAACAAACAAACAAAATACTCACTGCTCCCAAGGCAGTGTTTGACTCACACCAACCCTGCAGGACAGACTAGAACTCTCCTGTGAGTTAATGAAGCTGCAAATCTTTACAAGAGCAGAGAGCCTCGTCTTTCTCCCAAGAGTGATTGGTGGATTGGAACTGCTGACCATGTGGTTAGCAGCTGAATGCCAGAGAACAGGACCAACTATAATCCATGACCCTTATTCAGTGCTTATTAAAATCCTTAACTCCACCTACAGGCATATTTCAGCATAGCCTTGGAAGATATAATGTGAAAACCAAGCCTATGCCAACAGTGGTGGCCTAAAAGTGACCGGGTTTGGGGAATGTTCACTCTTGGCTGCGCTTTCTTTTGTAAGTGGCGTGATCATCCGGGTTTTGTCACAGTCAGCCCAGAGTGGCTAGCCCTTTTCTCTCTCTCCTTTGCCAGTCTCGTTTTCCGCTCTGCAGATTCATTGAGCTCATTTCTACCTCTGACAGTATTGTGTTGTGAGTTCTAAGCCCCATGATAGAATTTTTACTTTATGTGTATATATGCATACATCTTATATTTGGTAGTTTTTGTATTTGGGTATATTCATTGTGGAATTAAGACAAGTTATAATAAGTTATTCATGAAAGAAAGTTGTATTTATATATGTGTTCTTTTTATATATTTTTTTCTTTTTAGTGATAGAAAACGGGCTAGAGAATTTATTGACTCTGATTTTTCAGAAAGGTGAGTGTAAGTAAGTATTTTGTTGGGGAGATTATTGTGTGTGGAGGAAGTTTGGTGCTTAGCTTATATTTTAGTTTAATTTCTTTCATGAGTCAAAGGTGCCCACCTACATTTTCCTTGATTGTGTCGTGGTTATGCATCTGACTGCTAACTGCGAGGTCAGCAATTCGAAACCACCAGCCACTTCGAGGGAAAAAGAGGAGCTTTCTGCTCCTGTAAAGAGTTACAGTCTCAGAAACAAATCTACCGGGGCAGTTCTACCTGTCCAATAGGGTCACTGTGGCCATTAACTCGATGGCAGTGAGTTTGGAGTTAGAATATGGGGTTTATTGGGTAGCTGCTTACCCACTGATTGTGCATATAGCCATCAGGTGGGAATTTGCATCACTGAAATGGAAGAAAGGGTGTGTGGCGCAAAGTACTACTTTTACAGGGTAATGTATGAGGTGATGATATATCCTGGGTGTGATTTTGCAAAATATTTGTCTCTTGCAGATACATCCTGTAAGTATATTTCTAGGTACCTATGTGTTATTTGTGGGAGAAAGACTGGACTTTCTACTCCTATAAACACAGTCTTGGAAACCCACAGGGAGTCACTGTTATTTTGGAGGCCGTGTTGCATAGTGGTTATGTGCTGAGATCCACCAGGTCAGCAGTTTGAAACCACCAGCCACTCCTCAGGAGACCGACAGGACTTTCTACACCTATAAAGATTAACAGTTTGGAAGCCCACAGGGGCACTTCTACTTAGTCCTAAAAGGTCGTGGTGAGTTGGCATCAACTCGATGGCAGTGGATTTGGTGTTTTGGTTTGCTGTGTTATTTGAAGGAGCTGCCTTTCCTGCAGTGATTGTTTGCACACATACTGCATTTTCAGGCATAGTAAATTGTGTGCATGCACCAAGGGATCTAGACGGCAGTGCAGAGCCCAGAGGGACTTGTGTGTCTCATAGTTTTATCTCTGGAGATTAGAGTAACAGGTGTGCCCCACATAATCCTACCCCGAGAGTCCAGAATGATACGTATTCCATGTAAAACTCCAAAAAAATGAACTCATTGCCATTGAGTTAGTTCTAACTCAAGTCATACATAATATGAATTAAAATTAAGATTTCACAACAAAACTTTTGAAATGCTTCTTGGTTTAGCATCCATTCCATTGAGAAGAACACATAATATCAACAAAAAAAATTCATTGTGGAAAAGTATTGAGTCATGAAAAGGTTAAATGATGAACTATTTCCTTTCCTTAGACTATTAGTAAGGTGACCAGATTTTAACATTGGTAAAGCAGGACACCATTGACGGGGGTGGGGTGGGGGGTCGGGGTTCTTGATTTAAAATTTGGTCTATATGGACCAAATAGACCATTCCTTAGCTTGTCGTGCATTCTTTCCAAAAATCAGGACGTTTTAAATTGGGACTGTCCCGCCAAAAGCCGGACGTCTGGTCACCTTACAAAGATTTTTGATCCTGAATGCCCATCCAAATCTTCTGTGGTCTATTAAATAAATACAAATGCCTACCAAGCCAGAAAGCCTAGGGCTAAAAAACCGATTAGGGTCATTATTTGAACCTGAGTTCAATATTCTTTGCAAGTCACTTCAGTAGGGGCCCTGTTAGCATTGCTCTGTTAAAATTAGAATTGACTTGATAGCAGTGGGTTGGGTTGGTTTTTGGTTGTTGTAGAGCAGTGGTTCTCAACCTTCCTCGTGCCTTGACCCTTTCATACAGTTCCTCATGTGGTGGTGACCCCCCCAACCATAAAGTTATTTTCGCTGCTACTTCATAACTGTAATTTGCCAATGTTATGAATTGGGCTACCCCTGTGAAAGAGTCGTTTGACCCCCAAAGGGGTCACGACCCACAGGTTGAGAACCACTGTTGTAGGTGGAAGTGACTTTGCAGTAGAGATAGAAGAAACACATACATTTTGGAGCTCAAATCAACAGAACTTGCTGGTCATTGAATGCAGGAAAGGGGGGAATCAAGATTGGCTTTGAAGTTTTGGGGCATAAACAATGAGCTGACTGTTTCCAAAAATGTAATGATTTACATTTACGGTGATAAGGAAGAAAATGAAGCTTGAAAAGCGGTGTTGAGGACCTGATTTGGGGGGGGGGGCGCTTAAGTGGAGAGCAAATGTTTTGAGAATGATGAGGGCAATGAATGTACAAATG